CTGACCTGCCAAGAACCTGGTTTGTAACAAGGGGGCACCCGTTTCTTGTATAAACAGGCTGCAACTCTGTTCCAGAATGAAAGGCACCCTTCGCACATGAGGTCTCCCCCATAAAGCCAGTGGGGCGCTCCCTGTTTCTAGATTGTTTTGACAGGGGCTTAAGAATAGGGTGGTTTCCTTCGCAACAAACCACAGTGTCAACATACAACTTCTCTCCCCCCCCCATGAGGTAGGCCTATTGCTCCCATTCTGTGGGCCAAGGGTAACCCTTTGGGTGTTCAACTACAACACCCATCCTCCTCTGCTGCCAGCTATGCTGGCCGTGGCTGATGGGACAATGTTTTGGAGGGTTTCGCTCCTCTGGCACCTGTTTCAAGTAAGGGCTTCAGGGGGTCAAAACACCACCTTCCAGTTGTTGCAGCTGGAGAAACTTAGGGAGGTTGTGTGTCTCCCGTTCCTGAGCTGATGGCCGACTCTTATCCAAGGCTGCCTAACCAATTCCACAGGGGAGCAGTAGCTTGAACCCAAGCCCTGGTCTCTTCTCTTCTGTCCCTGGACGTACTCTTGTTAGGACTGTGGCCTGAAAGCAATGCAGCCCCCCTTTGTGGGTGTACTTGGGACCTGGAGCTAATTACAGCTCTTTTAAGGTAGGCAAGCAAGCATACTTGAAGTAGGAAGAGAACTGTCAATATCACACCCAAAGGGTCACCTGCTCCAACCTCTTAATGATACAGGACATCTACAGCATCTCTGACTGGCGGCTACCTGACCTCCGTTTGGAAACCTCATACAAGGGCTAAAGCTTTACAAAAGCATCTTTATAAGCACAGCGTTGCGGGCTGGACAGCTGAGAGTCATAAAGAAAAGCCTCCTGTTATATTGGTCCAGAAGGGGGCATGTGTGTGTGTAATGGGAAGAGATTGAAGGAATCTTGCATTAAAAAAAACACATTCAGAGTCATTTTCAAGAGCCCAAAGAGAGTATGTCCAATGAGCTAATCTGATTGTGCAGCAGGCCAATGCTCAGCATTAAAAAGACAAGTTTTAAAAACCTCCGCCCTGCCCCATATTGCCCTTCCGAAATGCAAAGCACGAAACAACATCGTATGTACATCTATTGCTGTGGTTTAGCAAGCTAGAGGGGGAGGAGCCTATTGCTTTTTCTTTTTCTGTGGTCCAGTAAAATAACAATTAAAAAAAAAATAGAAACAAGCTGTGCCACCCACCCCAACCTCCAAAGATAAAATCTGGCGTTCCAGAACCCCCCCCCCGAAAGTCCCTTCCCACTCCCACGGAGTCCTATTTGCTCTTGGTTGTTGTTTTTTTAAAGTCATTTGTCAAGGGGGGAAAAAAGCACCGTTTGTATCACATAACCTGTTTTGCGCTAGAAGTCAGAGAAGAACTCTTGAGGGCCCAAGTGAATAACAAAGGGCGCGATGTTGAGTGGTTGGCAATAAGGGTTGTCAATGAAAAAGCCACCTACAGCAGAGAGAAGAGCAGACAAGCAAGAAGAAGAAGAAGAAAAAATTGGAGGTTAATTACTTTTTTTTAAAAAAGTGACATTTGAGGGCCGCTTAAATTTCTCTGCTCTTTCAAAGCTGTAAGTGGGGTTTTCATTCCAAAACAGGGATGATTTTAGATACATTTTAAACAAACAAAATTGCAAAAAGGGAAATGTGGAAAAAAAAAACCTTCCAGAAACTTTAAGTTTCCCCTTTTATATTTACAGGAGTCTCTTTAAAACAAAAACAAAACAAAACGAGGAACTGAGAGCTGATTAAGGTTTTCAGTAAAGCAGAGAAATGTAAAATACGCAGCAACAGGGCAAAAGGGTTACGACGTGGTTAGTAAATCCCGACACGACAAAAAAAATTAATGGAGAAGGGGAGAGGGGTGGGGGGGAAATGACGTCATATCAATTATTGGAAATGATTGCCATCGTGTTGGAAAAGGCATAGCGCCCAGGGAGAGCCGTCCCAGCCAGCCGGAAAGAGGAATTGTCTGAAGAACTCATCCTTAAGAGGTATTTAGGCAAATGGTTAAACGAAAGACCAACCACCCTCAATTTACGAAGAGGCCCAAATTTGCATTTGGAAATCCTGTTTCCAACACTTCCTCTTTGGTGGTCTTCATTGGTCGGCTATGCTTTTCCAAGCTACATGATGGCTTGTTTTCATCCATAGGCCAGCCGGACGATCAAGGATTGATCAGTGCTGTTCTCGATCGGAAGGCGTTCCCACCCACCCCCCAGACACCACCAACTTCCTTTTAAAATATCGGTTGCAAATATGTAGAGCGTTAGATAGCCTTGGTTCTTGTTGGAAGGCGAACAGCGGACTGCCGACGCACATCCATGAATCGCCTCTCGAGTCTGATTAAAGCGCCACCGCCACTGAGCTAAAAGCGAGAAACAGCGAAACCGGCAAAGATGGAAAGGAAGCACAAATAGGTAGGCTCTGTTGCCCCTTCTTTGCCGATAATCTCAGCTGCAATTAATTCCAAAAAAGGAGAAGTGTGTTTATATACTCTGCCCTTCAGCACTCACTCTTCATGCGTGGAAGTTTGAACCGTGTTCGTCTAATCCCCACCATCCTTACCCCCCATCCTTGCCTCCCCCAACTTCCATTCAAATTCTCCGAAGGAAACGTTGCAGAGTATATAAAAACCACCCTCGGCAGAGAGCGCACAAAAAAAAAGATGGACCCACATCTGGAAAGTGACTTTTGAAGGGAGGGGGGGAACCCAATAGGATGCTTGCGTTTGTGTGTGTGTGTGTGGCGGTGACGCCTTAATCATCATTCCCTGCGCCCAACCCCCTCCCCCCAAAAAAAAGCCTCCCCGAGAACAGCAGACACCCCCCTTCTCCTGGATCTGGAGAGAGCGGAGAAGTTGTGCACGCAGGCAAAACTCACACATTAACAAATCACCACTTGGGTCTCGATGCACACACCACAAAATTAAAAAAAAAGGGGGAGGTGCTGGCCTATGGCTGAAACGGCTTCACTTTTTCCACAGCAGCACTGGACAAGACTAGGACAATTAAGGTAGCAGAGTTGGTTTGTTGGTTTGTTTTTCATGGGGGACTGTGTTGCTGCTTTAGATTCTTAGAATTGTACAAGGTTGTGGGGAGAAGGGGAGGAAGAGGGTGGCCACGGTGGGACACAGGGCAGAATAAGGCCTTTAAGTTTTAACTCTGAAGGAGGAGCGTCGGGGAGACCCCATTACCAATGTGTTAACAAAATCCAAGACTGAGTGAAGGAGGCCACAAGAAAATGCTTGAGGTTGATTCGTTTATTGGAGGTTGGTTTGCTTTTTTTTCTTTAACTAGTAATAATAAAAACAGATGGAGGGGAAAAAAAGAAAGAAACCTTTCGAATTAAAGAGGCATAAATTGTTAAAGCACGGACGATTCCTCTTTTTGTTGGGTTGTATCGGCTTGGACGGTGGCATTTCTATGTTAACTTCAGCCCTAGTTTGGGTGGACTTGTGATCTTTCATTTTTAGGATTTTTGAGCGGAAATCCTTCCTAGGGGCAAAGGAGAGGGGATGGAAATCTTAACTTTTCCAATCTCTAGGCAAGGGGGCTTCTAAGCCTCTTTTTCTATTTCCCAAAGGAAGGAAAGAAATGGTAAGGCAGGAAGACAACGATGTAGCAATTTAGGGAAGTCCTATGCAAGAATCGGGGATACAAAAAGGCATCTACTTATGGGGGAAAACACGTGGTTACCTATGACCGTGCTCTAGTTTTAAAACGCATAAATACATTTGTCACAAGTCGACACGCCTTGCACGACCAGTGTGAACAAAGAAGAGGTAAGCTACCGCCCACGACTTGGGGGAGGGGGGGATGGCAAAAAAAAAGGGTATCCTAGAAGGATACCACAACATTGTTACATGGAATAAAGCCTAATGAATCTTTACAATCAGCTAGTATGGTATTTAAATCCACGTTGCATGCCTCTTGTATTTAGGAAATTAAACAAGTATTCGTTTCTTTCTCTTTTTTCCCCCCCTCCAATACAGAAAACTGTATTTGGTGTTCCAGATCCTTTTAAAAAAAATACCTACACCATAGGTCCAAAATGTAAGGTGACAAACCTGACTGGGTTAGGAAACAGGCGGATACTCTCTATTACAACAAAAACTGGTTTTATTTTGTGATCAGCATTTTATACTCTATACATCCTTCACAAGTTTTTAAAGTTTTACATAATCCAGGTACTTCACTTAAAAACAAAGATTTTAAGCATCTAAGTTTCTTTCCTATATAACAGAAGGCTGGTATAAGTTATTTTGGAGAAGAGGACAAAGGGGGGAAATGAGGTAACCCTTTTTTTCACAGACCGTTGTTTGTTGTGTTAATGTGTGTTCAAGTTTTTTTTTTTAAAGAGAACTAAATTTGCATTTTGTTTAAAATAAAAATTAAAAAAAAAGGTAGGAAAAGAGGTTTCTTTACAAGATGGGTTTCTGCTCAGGTACGCCTTCAAAGAAAACCAGACTTTACACACGGCAGGCAGACCGGACTTTTTGTCTTGTTCTCGCTTGTTTTCTTCTAACATTCTGTACTGTGGTGGTCACTCAAAAGGAGGGGGGGGCTGGTGTGTCGGCCCTTCGCTAAAAGAACGAGTAATGGGGCAGGGGGTAGGTGGGCAGTTTCATAACAGGCAACAGTAGCATTCTCTTGGGCAAACCTACAGAGAGAAGAAATCAAGAGGACTCCCGGTCAGTCTTATAACCTGAGAAAAGCAATTGAAAAAGTAAAAAAAAAAAAAAAGGTGAAGAGATACTGCCTCTATTAGGCCTTCTAACTGCCTACTCAAGAACAACGCAGCCCGGTATCTGCGGGCTAAAAGTTACCCTCCCAGCCTGGCCACTGCCTACAATAAGATCTGCAGCTAGAGGATTTTTTTAAAAAAGTATTATTATTATTATTAGGAACAGTAGAGGGCAACCGGGGTCCTCTAGATCAGTGAAGGTGAAGAGATACTGCCTCTATTAGGCCTTCTAACTGCCTACTCAAGAACAACGCAGCCCGGTATCTGCGGGCTAAAAGTTACCCTCCCAGCCTGGCCACTGCCTACAATAAGATCTGCAGCTAGAGGATTTTTTTAAAAAAGTATTATTATTATTATTAGGAACAGTAGAGGGCAACCGGGGTCCTCTAGATCAGTGGTCATGTGCCCGCAGTTCCCATAATTTTTCACAATGGGCTAAGTCAGTGGATCCCCAGATGTTCTTGGACTAAAACTCCCAGAAGCCTTCACCACTAGCTTTGCTGGCCCAGATTTCTGGGAGTGGTCGTCCAGGAACATCTGGGTCACCCAAGGTGAACCCCCTGGACAACGTCTGATGGGAACTGTAGGCCAAAACCGTCTTGAGAGGCACAGACGTTGACTTCCCTTTAGAAGGACGAGGAGAGAACTCTGCTACACCTTCTCTGGTGTCCAAAGACGTTTTTACACGCCTGGATGGGGATAGAAGACCACCCCCACCCCCGGGCTGTGTTGCACGCAAGGAGAATAGGATGAGAAGTCACACAGCTGGACATGGCATTTCCTCCTCTGGATGACGGCCTCCAACAGACTGAGAATTTCTGAAATGTTGGAACTGGGACGGTGTCAGTTTATTTGAGATCTGGAAGTCCCCCCCTTTTTTCCCCCTGCCTAATTTTCAGGGTCATTTTAAAAATTCTTGTGGCCTCACAAAAAGTCTGTTGTAAATGCTTGTTTTTCGTGGTTTTACCCTCCCCGAAATTAAAAAAGTGTTTCCTGTTTGGACGGTCTCTAAATCCTTTTTTTTTTTTCGCCTAGGCGTCCCGTATTTAGAAATCAGAAAGCAGCAACAGCAGGTACTCTTAAGAGGGTCAAAGATGATCAGAGTGAAAACTTTCCCGACATGCAAAACAGCTTCACAGAGGCAAAGGCAGAGAAAGAGAAGAGGTAAAAAAGAGAGAGACCGAAACGGGAAACCTTACAGCCAAGGGTAGCGCTTGGGTCCCCCGAGACTCAGCACCACAACCGACCAACCAACCAGACATTTCCAAAATCCAAGAACAAAACAGTGAGAAATCCTTTATGCAGAGAACGAGAGCGACATTTCTCTACGCAAGCTGTTCGGAGTCAGCGATGGGCCGCCTTACTTTGGAAAACGGAGAGGAAGCAGGTTCTAATGAGCGCCCTCTGCTCCAAATATCTGTTTATTCGGTGCCTTTATACTCTGCTTTTCAGGCAACAGCCTTCTTGGACGTGGCAATGTGCTGTCTTTTAATATTGAGTAGCCGCAACAATGAAAATGTAGTGTAGGAAAGGGTACAGCTGAGTTTTTAAGTGAATTTCTCATCGACTTACTAGACCTCATGAGGTTCTGCTATCAAAAGCATATCTCTTCCTTTAAAATTATGTGCTCCCATCAGGACTGCCTGCTCTCCAGAGAATGAGCGCTTCTGTTTCTATAGAAGTTTCTGACCTGGAAAATCATCCTCTCAAGTGAAAGGTGGCAAGCCATGAGCGGTGGCCCAGGCAAAACAGCAGCAGCAACTGTGATCTTTGGGTCCATCTAAATCAGGATTGTTCACACTGAGTGGCCGCCGTGGCTCTCAAAATTTCAGGCGGGTATTTTCCTCCGCCTGGAGGCAGGCGGTACATCACGGCCTCTCCCAATTTGAAGAGACCCTTGTCCAGCAGGCCGAGGCAAAGAGGAAGTCACAAAGGAAGCAAAACCAGGGAGCTGGACAGGGGACAGATTGGATTTGTCTTCAGTGTGGAAGAGATTGTCACTCTCGAATTGGCCTCCTCAGCCACACTAGACGCTGTTCCAAGTCCTCCATACAGAGCACGCCACCATAGTCTTTCGAGACTGAAGGATGCCTACAATTTTCCCCACCCTTCCTGCGTTGCTGGGGATCAACCTGCACCCTTCTGCCTGTTAAGCCTTCAGGAGCTACCGAGACTCCGCCGTGCGTGGATGGGAAATGTGCTAAATCCATGCCTCCTGAGAGATGTGGGGATCCATGTACATAGACACAGCGTGGCAAAAATCTCCTCCTCCTAGTGGAGGCCGATCAGCTCGACCAGAGAGGGGCAGTCTATTCATGCAGAGGGGCCACAGGCAACCTCTTTTGGAAAGGAAGGAGGTGCTCTGGGCTCACGAGAGTCCTTCTGAATGAATCAAAGGCACCGATTTGCCACCGCAGAGGGCTTGGAGGGGCTGGTCCAAGCTGGGGCACGGTCACTGACTCCGAACGGCTTTGCCCCCGTCGCTGCATAAAAACTACATTCAAAGTAATCCAAAGAGCCATTTTTCCCCCAGTTAAACAAAATTAGGGGGTTTTGTGTGTCTGTGTGTGTGTTTTTGGAGGGGGGGGAGAGAGGTTCGGGGAAGTGGGAAAAAGGCAGGGGAATGAACCACACATTTGAGGTGATCACCATAGGAAGAAGGGTGGGGCTTTCGTGCAGCACTTAGGAGAGGTTCGGGGAAGTGGGGAAAAGGCAGGGGAATGAACCACACATTTAAGGTGATCACCATAGGAAGAAGGGCGGGGGGGCTTTGCTGCAGCCCCCCCCTCATAGGAGGAAGGAAGCTGAGCAGAGTGGAGATTCTTGGTAGGTTCCAGCGGACCCACCTTGAAGGGGAAAGAGTTCACACAAAGCACGGTTCACAGGACAACCATGGCAGCCACATAGGTGTGCAAAGGTGCCCAGCGCTCAGCTATTCCACTTTTGGTTGAGAGCTTCCAAATGCATGCTCTGGGTCAAGGGGTATATTTTTCCGACTACCGCTCCCAGGATTCTGCTGGCAAGATGCTGGGAGTGGTAGTTTCAAAACACATCAGCCCATCCCTGATTCTGGGAGCTCTCACCCCAAAGAGGGAGCTTTCTGAAGATCTGCTCTGAGCCCTGTGCAAACGCACACACACGAGCTGGTTTTCATGAGACTGCAACAAGTGTGTGTGGGGGGGAGGACCCTGAGGGTTGGGGATGGAACGAGAACAAGAGAAGCAAAGTTACAACCCCCCCCCCAAGCTTGGTGGGGCCTTTAGGGTCAAATAAGGGGCTCGGGTTCGGAGTTTCTGGCCCTTCGGGTGCTTTGAATGGAGCACGAGATGGCTGTAAGATAGTTTACTCAGGCAGGGTCGTTGGGGTGGTGGCAGTGGTGGGCAAAATACTCAATTCCGTTATGAAAAAAAAGGGCAGGCAAGTTAGAACAAGCAGCTCTTCCACAGTCAGGCAAAAAAAGCAGCAGAGAAGAAGAGAAGCAACTCCAGCCCAAATGGAGCGTCGGAAGGAGGCTCACGGCCTTCTTGAAAAACGAAAAGGAAGTATACTGAGGGTGCCACGTCCGAGGGGGGAAGCTGCCGGTTTCCCCTACACCCACCAACCCCCCAACCCTCCCCGGTCGCTCACATACAAGCTTGGGCCAGCCCCACTGGAAGAATGAACAGACGTCTCCCGATCTGTGTCACACAAGAAAAGGAAGAGGCGGTACGTACCGTAAGCTGGTGCGGCGGCGGCGGCACTGTATCCATACGGCGCTGCGTAACCTGAAAAATGAAACACAAGGAAGGGCTGACTCCCGTTTGTTTGTTGTGGCCTCTACAGGACCCGTGAGGAAGCAAAGGAAAGGGACTGCAGGAGGAAACCTGCGTGCTTACAAGGATCAGTTTCCACCCCAAGGCCCTTGGTGGGCTGTACCACTTCCTCCCACAGAAGCCGGTCTGAAAGCTACTTCCATGGGTTCCTCTTTAAACCATGTTGTCGGATCCTGAAAACCAGATGCATGAGTCCTGTGCACCTTGCTTCAGAGGAGAACGGCATTTTCTGCCGCCGCATCCCTGCATTTTAACAAAAGCGCGACGGGCTTCTTTTCAAGAGTGGAGGTGGCAAGAACAAGAGAAGGCTTGTGCATCTTTGTTCTGGGGGGGGCCAACGTGGATTTCAGAAGGGGGCGATTCCCCTTTTGGGGAGTTGAAAGGGTGGCACCTGTAATATTTATGCCCTGCTGTCAGAAGGCTAGAGAATATGCCTCCATTCAAAACTATTTCCCGCTGGTGAACCTGGACTAGAAATCTGTTTTCTTCCTTGTTTCTTTTCTTAAAGGCCAGACCAGGCTCAAATATGAAAGCCCATAAAAACCAGGTCTGTAATTCTTAAACAGCGCCACTGCTGGCTCAAGACCTCAGCTGTAGCCAAGCATCACTGTGGCTTTGCAGCTGTGAAAGCCATACAGGCCTTTCTCCTGCCAGGAAAGGCATGTGAACAAGAGGTGTGTTTGATAACAATGTACAGACCGGGGCAATATTATCACCTGTGGGCAGAGAAGGTCAAAAGCCATCAGTGCATGAAGACCCTTCCCTTTATTTCTCCCCAAGCAACTCAAACTTAGGGTTCGGTGGGAGTCTGTCGGTCCAAGGGTCTGTCCCCACATATTAAGTTGCTGCTGTGCATTGCCTCCATCTTGCTTAGCCCTACCTGGAGCCAGGTAACCTGTGGCAGCTGCCGCCCCAACGAAAGCGCCTCGCGCAAGGGCGCCTCTCCCTCGGCCTCGGGCAGCCTGAACAGCGGCTGACATGGCTGTGTTCACAATCCCTTTTGTCTGCAGAGAGGAAAACGAGATGGAGAAGAAAGAAAAACTGGCTGTGCTGAACCACAAGAAAATCTGCACGTGGGCGATGCCTTTATCGGAAAGTTTTTGCAGGTCTTTTTGTTAGGTTAAATGGCAAAAACCTAGAGAGGGTTTTCATATATATATATATATTGGAAATTCCACGTCTCTCCACCCTCCTTTGCCCAATTTTTTTGCCACCTAGAGCTGCAGTCTAGGGACATTCAGAGCACTGTCCCTGACCTGCAAGGTTAGCTTCAAGACCCCAAACAGACGGAAAGCAGAAGTCTGAAATTAAGCGCCCCTTTTTCAACGGACTTTTCAATTTTTCATGAGAAAAAGCTCATGAAACCTCCAGCGTTGGCTTAACCCAAACGTGAGAAACTGTACAGTTACAGAACTGGAGGGTTAGAAGGGACTAGCAGGAGTCAAGCAGTCAACACCTTGCCAAAGCAGGTATCCTACAGGTAAAGCAACCCCAATGAAGGAGAACTTAATTCCCTCCACCGCCCACCTTGGAAATGTTTTCCTGACCATCTACTAACTATGAACAGCAACCCGCCAGCTCTCTCCGGATGGCTACTGATGTGCTGGCTTAAACAGGAAGCTCTCCCCAAATGGACCCTCCACGCCCGACCTGCCTCACCTGTGGGAGGATCTTCTTCTTCTTATTGGCAGCTGCGTTGGGACCGGAGAAGAGCTTCTCCAGGGCAGCTAAGGCGGCACTTGCTTTGGCCACCTTCTTGTTGGGGCCGGCCCCTCGGAACTTCTGCCCGTCGACTTCTACCTGGAAGCGAGAGGGACAGCTGAGACCCCAACGTCTTGCCAACTTCTAGGAGCCCCTGCCTGTTCAGGAGCCCGCTCCGAAGAGGCCGGCGTCAACCTTTGCAAGCCCTAAACCCATGCTCCTCGATGTTCTTCAACCCCTTGAATAAACATTTTTTTAAAAAAGTTGTCCTCCTCCAGACCAAACTTAGTGGTTGCATCTGGAGTGGGGAAATATCAAGACTGAAAAAAAAAAATCAAAGCATGTGTACATTTCAGTTGAAAAATACTTATTTCGGGCTATTTCTTGAATGCCACAAGATGACACATCTATGTTGTTAAGTGAGAAAGGGGGAAAAAAGGGGGGGCACATCCCACTCGTTAAGAATCATTGTCTTCACTGCTTTGAGACCAGACACTCTGAAGGATCGTCTATACCTATTATGAGACCTGTTATCTTATTTATCTCAGCCTTAAATCTGGCATCAGAAGGCCTGTTATTTGATGCACCAGCAGGCGTGTCAGCTTGCTAAGTACCAGTATGAGAAACGTGGCCTTCTCGGTAGTGGCCCCACCATTTAGAGATTACCCTCCACAGGGAGCAGTATTCATAGCTTGCTCTTTACCAAATCCAGACGTCTCGTTGATCTTGCTGCAGAAGCCGAGGTTCAAATGTAGCCGAGTGAAAAACCCGGCCAGTGTCATGATGTAGGACTGTGGTGTTGTGGAAAGGTCTGTGTTTGCCTATACAGTCACGACTGCCACAGCACAACCCCAGAAAAGGGGGAGAAGCCTTCCTCACCTCCATCACAAAACGCTTGTCGTGGCTTCCGCCCGTTTCGGAGATGAGCTCGTACTTGAGGCCTCGCCGTTTCTCGTTGAGCTCCATCACCGGATTCTTGCCACTCGCTGTGAGGATGGGACCCTGAGTTCTGACCTAGAAAAGGACACAGATGTTTTCAGACACAGGGAGAACCTGGGAACTCCCAATGGCAGCCTAGTTTCTAGATGCCCTTGGCCTCATCGCCTTCTGCGACTGGCTCGTTCAGACTTTTTAAGCGTCCCTGCAAAAACAGCCGTTGCTGATTTTCTGCAGTCTGCATGAACGTTTAGTGCTTTTTCTTCTTCTTAACTGGTGTGGAAACATAAAGTTGTCCTCCTTGTTCTTTGGTCAAGAGCATTGCAAAATAAAGAACAAGAGAAGCGAGAATTTTATGTCTCTGTTTAAGACCATGGCTTATCCAAAATCAGTGTTGAGATCGTCCAGCGCCAGGGCACCCTCCAACTGCCCTCCTGACTTCTCTGCTGCCTGAAAAGGCCACCTCCGGAGAAGCAACTGGAAGCCGAAGTTTCTAGTTACCAACGGCCATCAGCTCTGTGGCTGAGCAAAAGGGGATCACTTTACGTATCCCATGCCTCATCCCGACCCTCTTGACTCACAAAAAGTCTGTCTTGTTGCACAACCCTTTCATCACACAGAGGCCAGAGGGAGGGAGCTCAAACGAGGCATTAAACTGGCCCAGGATAACGAACACATGCCCCTGTTTTCACAGCTTTTTTGGAGCTGGGGGTGGGGGAGAGAATAAGGATTCAGAAAAGAATCCTCAGTGAGCCGGTGCAATAGAATACAGTTGTGCCCCGCTGGATGATTACCCCGTTTAACGATGAATCCGCTTAACGTTGACGTTTTTGTGATTTGTGATTTAAATGGGGTTTTTTCACTGTGCGATGATCGGTTCCCTGCAAACTGATCATCGGGTTTCAAAATGGCCCCCCGCCGTTTTTAGGACTGATTTTCCCCACTACAGGCACCGAAAATGGAGGATCTTCGCTGGATGAGCAGGTATTCAGCCCACTGGAACGGTTTTCAATGCGTTTCAATGGTTTTTTAAATTTCGTTTGATGACATTTTCGCTCTACAGCGATTTCGCTGGAAGGAATTAACGTCATCAAGCGAGGCACCACTGTAGTTGGATTACAACCTGGGAGACCTGTGACTCTAATTTTTATTTGAAAATATTCAGATTTCTTGTTCTTATAGCTCAGCAGCAGGGTGATCCCAACTATTTCTCATTCAAAACTGATCTCAAGGAGGAGGGTTCGGAGACGACAAAGAGTCAGATGGAGGGACAAGGCCTAGCATTTTCTCACAGCAAGACGACACCCATGTTGTTGGGAGGACAGTAGCGAGGCTTGAGAGAGAGCAGGACAAGCACTGGATGCGCTCACGGCGCTTGCTTTTTCCCAGCCACTCTTGCGAATTCCCGTTCTCTTTGCAAAAACAGAAGATTCTGATGCTTATAGAGAAAACAAGGCGCATTTCAAACCGGGAAGAAAGAGGGGTGGGTAAGATTTCGGGGCGGATGGGGAGAGACTCTTTTTCCTGAAAAGCAAGGGGGTGTTACTTGGGTTTCAAAGGGCCCGCGATTAAGAGAACACCCACCTCCAAAGTAGCAGAGGTGTCGATTGTAGAGTTTCCAGTATTATTGCTTGAGTTTGAAGAGATGGTCTCGTTTTTGCCTTCCGTATCCGACTTCTCATCAGAGCTGGTACATTCCATGTCTGCGTCGAAACCGGTGGGGTAACCCATAGCTTGCAAAACCTGCATAGAGATGTTTTTTTTTTTAAAGGAAACCACGGTCACAGACATCGCTGAAGCGGCATGCGAGGTTTCCACAACCTAAGCCCACCCTCCATTCTCTGCTCCTTGTCAAAAGCGTGCTGTGCCATCTCTGAAGGATCACACCAAAAGCCACACTCTGGACACAACATAATACTGCACCTGCAAACCCATAGATGTCCTGCTTTTTCTTTCTCTTAGGTCAGAGCCTAGGTTCTTTCATGGCATGACCGATGGGATGCAAAAACATTTTAAAACCATACGCCCCGCCCCCAAATTAGAAGCACACAAAGTTTTACTCCTCTAAAGAGGAGAACATCATGGGAGATCTTTCTCTTAGTCCCACCAGTTTCACAGGTGCATCTGAGGAGGACACAGGAGAGGGCCTTCACTGTCTCTCCCCCCAGACTGTGGAACTCCCTCCCACTGGAAGCCAGGCTGGCCCAATCTTTGCTGTCCTTCCGCAAGCAGGCAAAGACCGTTCTCTTCAGGCAGGCTTTCTCTGAGTGATGAGCTGCCAGACAGAGGATTCAAAACAGGATGCTCTGCATTCTTGTTGCTTTTAAATCTGTTTCAGTAATGCTTTCACCTAACATTTGAGATATATTTAATTCTGATTTACTGTTTTTACCTTTCAAGGATGTAAGCTGCCTTGGGCCCTTTTTTTTAAGGAAAAAAGTGAGGTTCAAAAGTATTTTAAATGAATGAATAAATAAACAGCCTCTCATGGGAAAGAGAACTGGGATTTACTGGGGGAACCAGGACCTTTGAGGTAGGGGTTTCTCTCAGCTCTGGACAGCCTTCCCCACTGTCTTGAAGATAAAGTTTCTGCAGTTTGGAGAGAGAAGCTGGGTGGGCAGAACACCTTGAATCAATCTCTCTCTCTCTCTCTTAAGACAAAGCCTGCCTGGAAGAACAAGCGAGGCTTTGCAGACCAAATGCAGTTCAAAGTGGAGAAACAGAGAAAAGGAATCTTTAAGATCCATATGTGAAGCGAAGCTGCCTCAAGAGAGAGTTTAAAAATAAATGAGAGATCACATACTTTGGGGGCACTTTTCATGTTCAAGGCGAGGGAAAAAGAAGCAGGGAGTTCTTCTGTCCTCCAAAACGGAGAAGAAGGAGAGCCAGGCGTTGCTAGAATGACCTTTCTGAAAAACTCCTCATTCAAAACACATGAAAAGAGTCAGATAGATAATATCTATCTATCTATCTATCTATCTATCTATCTATCTATCTATCTATCTATCTATCTATCTATCTATCTATCTATCTATCTATCTATCTA